GATAAAAGTTCTCAGAGTTTTTGAGCTCAGCAAGGAAACCTGTCAGTTCATGGCATGTATGATGCGGTGGAGGCATTTCAAGTGAAGCTGTCACAAATGCACCAGTGCAACCTGCCTCACTTTCCCTGTTGCCGAGTAATGTTGAACAAAGTTGGCGCACTTTGCTCGTCTACATGCGGCTCCAACCTTGTGTTTGCTTTCATTTATTTTTTCTGGGTTTTTTGGCAGCATGTTCATATTTCTAATTTGCATAATTTTGACAGGATATATTTTTATGGAGAGCAAAATATAAAATAAATAAAATAAAAAGTTAAAGTTTATTTTTTTAAGTGCATTTATTCTGGAATAATTATTAACAACAGAGTAAACGTTCGTAGCCTGTATGATGTCACCAGGTCCAAATTATAACCAGTGTTTTAAATCCGCCCACTATGATATTAAAGCATAAAACAAAAAGTCTGATATTTCTTATGTTTACATCAGAAACAAAAGGCCAAAAGGCTTTCATAGAAGATGTCTTTGCAGGCTGCACTGGCTTTCAGGGGACCACTGTAGAGCTCCCTCATCCTGTCCTGAGAGGTAGGCAGAGCTCTAATTTTGTCATATTGTTCTTGGTCGATAACTCCCTTGTCTTGGAGCTCATCCAAAATGGGTGCGATGTTGCTCACTCTCTGGATCAGCTGGACTCTGTGTTTATCCACAAAATGCTTTCCTGGAGAAAAAAGGAAAGAAATACAATAAAAGTTTACAGTTGTTTATCATGTGAAAATTTTATTCACTTTATTCTCAGCTTTCATAACAAAATGCTTTAAAAAATCACACTTATTTCATAATTAAAATTAATTAAATGTTAAAAATAGAACATAAATGATGTCTTTCACTTTTTTCATCCAGACATTGAAACATTATTGTGTTTCCTGAATTTCCAAGAGTCAAGTTAATGTTGCAGTTTCCTCTTTTATTACAGAGAATCTAGTGAGCTGGTTTCACTCGCTGCTGGATGCTTCATTCACATCTTTTAGCCGACTTTCAGAGGGTACTTCACGTGATCTTGGTTGTCAGCCATGGGGGTCCAGGTTTTTTAGACAGACAGACCCATCATGATGAGCCCCACCGATTTTTGTCTCAGCCCAGACCTGTCCTGGGTTTTTAGCAGCAGCACTCCTGACTTTGGGAATGGTTGCTTTAGTTGTTGTTTTTGGATTGTGCAGAACAGACTGTGGTGCTCATGGTCAAGGTTACATCAAGGGCAGCAAACACCAAATTAAATTTAAGGTAATGATACTGAATTCCACCTTAACAGCAGCTTCATTCTTCACACTAAAGAACACTGAGGCAATCGTTGATTCAGTGCCATATAAATAAAATTGAACTGATTGAATTGGAAATCAGCCATCACAGCTCATAGAACATCTGCTTATAAGCCTGCTGAGTTCAGTTGGCTAAATCCACAAATAGTAGCAGCGTCGGTCAGCTGATCATAACCTTTACACAGAAGCCACCTGTGCTCACAAGAGAAATTATTATGATTTATTTTTAAGTGATTTCTGTCCTCATGCTGCAGCACCACAGCCGAACTTAGGGTTTAGTGATGTGTCATTCACAAACGAGCCGACACAAAGAGCTCATTCTTTGTAGCAAATGACAAAAGCCGACTCTTCAGCCTCAACCACTCAGCCCTGCTGAGAATCCATGCAACCAGCAGCTTTGATGGGCACACCGTGTGACCAATGGCATGCAGGGACAGATAAGGATCAGACAGTTATGTGAATAAAGGAAGATGGCGAACAGTGTTACGGACCAGGTACTCAGAGCACCACAGAAAAGTGAAGAAACAAGCAAAAATGGAAAAGGAGCAGCATCTGGCTGCATTTCATTGATTTTGGAGACCAAACAGCTGAGAGCATAATCTTTAAAATCAGGAGCTGGCTAAAATGATACTTCTTTTTAGACTGCAGGAACACCACAAAGCACGTCACCAAAATCTCAAAGACTTGTGTAGCAGCCATAATTGAATGTATTGAATTTTGATGATCACTGGGTTTTTATTTGTTTGGTTGTTATGGGAGTCACGTGGGTGCTAGCGGTGACATAGATGGGCGTTGTCAGTCTGTCATTCACTGGTTTTGATTTTGACAGAGAGGAGGGCTGGGTAGCCGTAGTTTTTGTTGACCGCTGCACAACATGTTTCGCTTCGTTATATTAGAGCCTGTGACGTTGTAAGAGTCTGAATCAGGAGCCGATGACATTACTCTGTAAACTCTCAAAGCACTTTAATAAACAAGCAAACAATTCCACCTCTCGCATTATTGCGTAAAGTTGACAGCGCGTCAGGCAAATAGGCAGGCCTCATCCCCGGCCTCTAGCGACTGTGGAAGTCGCTACAACTTGTTTTCATTTCTGTGCCTCACAGTGCACACCTTTTTTTTTTTTTTTTTTTTTTCATTACTCTTGACCTCAGGCTAAGTTATAGTTTGAGTCAGGATCAGTTACAGGGAGAGGACTTCATGCTGCACCTACCGTCTGCCATTGTACATCCACCAGATGCTGCAGCTGGAACAAGCAGAGGGGAAAAATTATTGATTAATACTGATGATGATGATGTTTTACACTGATAGAATATAAACAACTTCCTTCTGTCCACAGGATGAAGGGCTGCTCAGATTTAAAACTGTGCACCTTATTTGTTTCCAGTTGGTTGAAAACAATAAACGATGGGCTGATGCACCAGAAAACATTAAAACCAACTAAATCATGGCTCTTCTTTAGGTTATTAATATTTGGCTCCACTGGACATACATAGATAAGCTCATTTCAGGATTAAGTTCTTTTCTTTATTTTATTCGATCTATTGCTAATAAAACATTGCTAATAAAAACAGCACGCTGCCCTAGTAACCAATGTGCTGATTACAACTGTGAGAATAGCTGAGAAAATGTTCCCCCTTCAGACAGACTTTTTTAAACAGTTTTGCTTCCGTTTTAAACTTTATTTGTTGTACAGATGTGCGGATACGTCAGCGGTCCTTCCAGTAGTTGCTCATTATTAGGTTTCGCTCCGTACGATACAATAATCTAACACTCAGTCTTCAAACCCTGACACCGAGCTAGCGCAGCGGTTTGTGTCGGGTTTAAAATATGAATCTAATCGCAGATTCTTACCTCTGCGCTGCTGTCGATTTGTTTCAGGATCTCCAGAACCACCGAAGCGCCTCCTCCGCGGTAAAGTCTGTGACCTGCAGCCGGCTTTTCCCTACTTCCTCTTTTTTAACATTACGCGCGCCTTTTTCACGTTTTCTCTGCAGTCCAGAAGCAGATGATTTCAGACCATATGTTGTGCCAGAGTGATTCATTCAGTGTTTCGTTTTTTAGGTTCTTTGGGTGAAGTTTGATGCTCAAATCTTCACAGATTAAGTTGATTAAGGAGTTGAAAGTGTTTACATATTTGTTTAGCCACTTTGAAAAAAGTCCTGTAACTTCCTAAGACCCGAGCGCTTGATTGGGACGTGATGAATGTGAAAACAAAGAATTATCTTTTTACCTAATTTTGCTCTACAATGGCCTGATATTCACATATGAGCACATTCGTTTTAGATTTCGATAGAACAGTGGCAGTATAACGTCCCCGTAAGTGGATATCAGGCCCTTGTAGAGCAAAATTTAGTAGTGTGGTCGAGACAACCCAAAATGGGATGTCCGCGTATCTGGACAACAAATGCAAAACATTTAAAATCTTGTGCAGAAATTGTTCCCAGTGTTTTACCATCATATTTTTGAATGAATATTCTGATTTTCTGCCTCCCCCGTCCCTCCATAATGTACACTGCATTATTATTTGAATAAATCATTTGATAAAAATGAAGATTTTATTTCAAAGATTAAATTATAAAACGTTTTAATTAATCATCAAAATGAACAAGAAAAACATGAGTTTAATTTTGGTTTATTTTTTTAAGGACAGTAAATCTTTGTCACTATGTTTCAAGTTACAATAAGATGATGACATTGAAAAAGAGATTAATGAGGCTTTGGATGATTTATGGATAAAACTCATTCAGCTTCACGGCCCCGAGGATTCATAGTAATGCGAAAGGTACCCCTCTGTGTCCTTATGAACGCTCAGGATTCTTAATTGAAGCACTCCCCTTTTTATTCTCTTCGCGGCCCTAACCCTAGCATTAACCATCACCTTACATTTATCAATTTCAACCCGCTCTCACGCCTGGGAACGAGCAACATAGCGACGATTTGTCACATATATGTTACATTTTGGGATGAGAACGTGTTTGGATAAAAACATGGCTGATGACATCGCTGATTCATTTTTAACATATATAACATTTACATTTTTTAATATAAAACTTTCAAATATCCATAGTTTTTCCTGTAAAATGGATCAATTAAAGGAGCCACTGAGGAGCAAATGCAACACATAGAACAGTTTTTACAAAAATGTAAGTGTAAAATAAAACCCCCACAAAGAAAAGGCATCTAAACCTTTTTAATGTAATCATGTTATGTTCTGGTAGATATCGGTAGATCTATATTTGGTCTAAAAACTGTTTTTTCAACACATTTAATCCTTTTCACTGAGCTCTTTAACGAGAAATTTCTCATTTTTCAAAAGGATGTCATAGAAGATCTTTTTGCAGGCTGCAGCTTGCAGGGGACCAATGTAGAGCTCCCTCATCTTGTCCTGAGTGGTAGACAGAGCTCTAATTCTGGTATAAGTTTCTTGGTCGATAACTTCATTGTCTAGGAGCTCATCCAAAATGGGTGCGATGTTGCTCACTCTGTTGGTCAGCTGGACTCTGTGTTTGTCCACAAAGTCCTTGCCTGGAGAAAGAAAAGGAAAGAAATAATTTTTTTTTTTTTTTTTTTAAGGGTTGTTTATCATCTGAAGTTTTTATTCACTTTATTCTCAGCTTTCATAACAAAATGCTTTAAAAAATTCATTTATTTCATAATTAAAATTCATTAAATGTTAAAAACACATTCGTTCCTTTTGGTCGACTATTTAAAAAGAACATAAATGACATCTTTCCTTTTTTCATCCAGACATTTAAAGATTATTGTATCTAGTTAATGTTGCAGTCTTCTCTTTTATTATCAGGAAATGAGGAGCTGCATGAGAGTGCATCTGCTTGGCAGTTTCAAGGCCTCGGGCACAAAGGTGAGAAGTAACGAAGTACAAATACAAATGTATTTTACCAGAGTCTTACTTTTTCTCACTACTTTTTACTTTTACTCCCTGCCTTTATAAACAAATATCTGTACTTTCTACTTCTTACATTTTCTAAACCGGCTCGTTACTTTTGCTTTAACGCATTTTAGTCGAGTTATTATTTCGTCACTGCGAGCCTCCAAACATCCAAACGATTTAAACCTGAAGAGAAACACATGGTAGGCGGTCCTGTTCGATTATTATTCACCAGAGGATGGTGAATGATAAAAAGAGAAAGTGCGACTGCCTCCGTCAAGAGCCAAGAAAGAGATACAGACAAAGGCAGTTACAGGGAGGCGAGTCTCCCCACCAGCAGCTTAATTTCTGGTGATTACTACTAGGGTAATACTCTACAGTAAAACAGACCCCAAACCTTTAAACCAGTCCAGTATCTCCTGTATAAGGGGTCATCTCAGCTCTAACACAACATAAATACTTATTATATATATGTAATATATGTAATTCTCTAACCTGCAACGTGGCCAGAAACTGGATGACACGTTTAATGTAAGAAAAATTGGAATATGGACGCTTGATGTCATTGTTTGATGTATCAGAGTTTAATAATGAGCTGTGTCATCTGATTAAACAGGTGTAGCCGTCATGTCTGAGATTTGGTTTCAGACCATTTCAATGCAATTTCAGAATAATGTTAAAAAATATGTTTTGAAATCTGGAATAAGCTACGTTCAACTGCGCCCTGCCATACGGGGTCACTGCAGATGTTTGATTTGGCAGTTTTACAGCCGATACCCTTCCTGACATAACACAAAGGGGGATTTGTGCCTCTGACTGGAATCAAACCAGCATCCTTTCCTCTCCAAGTAAACCATACTTCTGTTCTATGGAGCTCTTTTCTAAAACCTTTCTGTAATAAATGGTGCCATTTTTGTTTCTTATCACAAGCTGATACCTAACAGCATCAGCTGTCACGATCCTGGGTCATTTGACCCAGCATTTTGAGTTTTCCTGTGTTTTTGTCATTTTGTATTATGGTTTGTGTTCAAGTTCACTTAGTGTTCTATGGCAGCGGTCCCCAACCTTTTTTGCGCCACGGACCGGTTTATGCCCGACAATATTTTCACGGACCGGCCTTTAAGGTGTCGCGGATAAATACAACAAAATAAAACTAGTACCAAAAAAGATTTATTCATAACACATGTGAAAAGACCCAGGAAAACAGTTAACGATAAAAACGATAACAAAATAATGCTGAAAACCGACAAAAACCCTGAAAACCAGACATTTCACACCTGAGCCTCAACTCTCGCGGCCCGGTACCAAACGACTCACGGACCGGTACCGGTCCGAGGCCCGGGGTTGGGGACCGCTGTCCTATGGTGCCTAGTTATCCTGTTTTTAGTTTCTACCCTGTTTAGTTCCTTGATTATTTAGTAGTTACTCCTTGTGTCGTTGCCCTCTCTGTGGCAGTTTATGTGTTTGTTCTCCTGCCTTGTTTTCCCTCGTGTTTTTTTATGGATTGTCAAAATTCACAACAATATGCTAACTAAGCTTTTAACCTGGACCTTTATTGTCAACTTTGGTCTTGGGCGCCAACAATGAAGGTCAAGGTCAAAACCATAATCACATAAAAAAACAACATATCCAGTAATAGGTCATATGAGAGGGCATGGTAAGGGATGTACAGCACACTTTGTATTTTTTCAGTTCACAATGATGCCATAAAGTTTTGACAGCTTATAGAAGCCAAAGTTTTCAGCCAATTCTGCTCCAATCACATGGGTGAAGATGATTAAATACACCATCTTAGTATGTAATACCTCAAGGTCACAGGTCAGGGTCCCACGATATAGGAAAAAGCTTTAGTTTCTATTTAATCATCTCAAAACTTTAAAGCAACATATTAGTCGTTGTGGAACATCAACACTTTCTTCGTTTGAGCTCTTTAACACAAAAAGGTTAAACTAGACTAGATTTCCATATCAACAATGCTGACATCAGCATGTTTTAATAACAGCCAGCTGAGGTAGATATGTTTAATAAAAACAGGCTGATGTCATCATGTTGTGACAAAAACATCATAAACATCAAACTTTTAGTACAGCCCTTGCTCTTAGGGGGAGTTGTGCTCTCTGAGTGCACCTGCTTACTGTGCAGTGTCTACACTTGGGTCCTCTTGTCAACAACTGCAACAAAATCCTTTAATAAGAAGACAGCAGAGTTGATATATGTTACCATTACCTGAAGTACTGACACCAGATGCTCCCCTTGAAGCTCCTGAAGCTGTAAAGACATTTTTTTTAATTGTGTGTTAAATGCACCAATTTAATTAATTTTCATTACAAACAAAGAAACAGATCAAATTGTCTAATATAGACACATTTGCCCTTAACTCACTCTTCTTAGTTTTAAATGACTCACTGCTGATCTGTTTAATTCACTCAGTGTCTGAAAAGTCTGTTTGTCATTACAGACGAGCTTCTAAACTGAACAGTCACTGATGCCAGGAATGTTTTAGCAGGACCAACACAGTACAAACTATTATGTTAAACAGCATTCGACTTAACTCTACGAGTTAAAGCTACAGCAACACATTTTATGTTGTGAGTGAAAGCAAAGAATTAGTTTGAATACTCTTTAAGTGTATTTTCTTACCTTCAACATAACCAGACATGGGATAGTCATCTGGAATTAAAGGAAAATCAAAATATGAATGTTTGATATTGTTGTTTGATGTGCTGCATTCAGGGACCAAAGATTATGAAATAGCAGAGAAACAACACGTTCACATTGCTGTTGCTCTTCAATTTGCAGTCGTCAAATAAAAGGATGAAAGTTTTCCATTACACTTTGTGTACATTGTATTATTTAACAGAATAACTAACCTTGATGAACATCACATGTCCAGACTGGTTCATCATTATTTGAGTGCAGGAGTGTAAGCCTGAGTTTTCTGTCTGGATTCTCAATGAACACTTCATAGAAGTTTATCCTGTTATATCTGAAGGTTAACTCCTGTGGGGAAAAGTGTAAAAAAACAAAACAAAACGCACACGCGCGCGCACACACACACACACACACACACACGGAGTAATTTCAAACGTGATGTTCAAAGGTTTGCAATATTTCAAACAGCTCAACAAACACGTCCATATTGTTTCTGTGCAGAGTGAATTACAATCTGTCTGCTCGTCCTTTTTACATTTGTATTCATCACTGACTCTGTACGTGATGTGTTGCTGAAGCTATCCAGTTATTTCATATTCCAGAAAGCTCATCACTGCTCATCACACTGCTGCCCTTCTGACCCGGCCCCAGATAAGTAGAAGAAAAAGCATGGATGGATAGATGTATGTAAAATACATATTTTGTGCAGCTTTTAACCCACTAAACAATTTTCATGGTTTAGTGGGTTAAAAATACATGCTTTGGTTATAAAAGTGTTTGAAGATTGTGGTGATAACGTGGTAATAGCTCAGGTGGCAGAGCAGGTCAGCCACTAATCAGAAGGTCGGTGGCTCGATCCCAGGCTGCCTCCTGACTGCATGCCAAATATCCTTGGGCGAGATACTAACCCCATGTTTGCCTACTGGTGGTGGTCAGAGGGCCCGGTGGCGCCAGTGTTCGGCAGCCTCGCCTCTGTCAGTGCGCCCCAGGGCAGCTGTGGCTACAATGTAGCTGCCATTGCCAGTGTGTGAATGTGTGTGTGAATGACTGAATGTAGTGTAAAGTGCTTTGGGGTCCTTAGGGACTAAGTAAAGCGCTATACAAATGCAGGCCATTTACCATAATAATGTAAGAACAGCAGAAAGCGTTCTTAAAAACAAGCTTCGGACATGACTGAAATGTTTGAGTAGAGGTTTATCCACACATACAATGAGGGGCTAGATCTCCTCAGCAGAGCTTTTTACAAACTGTACCTGTGGTTGAATTTCTGCTGTTTCCATGTCGGCTCTGAGGCTGAAAGTACGCTCAGTTTGCAGGTACTTGTCTGGGTGTGGTTTTTTGATTCTTTTGTATCCATCTGAGGATTCTTCCTTGTCTATTCCCTGTTATCAGATGATATCAGTCATCAGCAGCTGAAGATTCAGTTTGGATTTAAAATCGCAAAATAAATTCATGATGAACTCTTAGGATAATGATCATTTTAACTTATTACACTTTTATCATTGAGTTTGCAGTCAGTATGATGTCATATTTAAAAATAATGGTCAGTGTGCCCAGATAATATTTTTCACCTTGTGTCTAGTATAAAATATAAAAGCAATCGTACTGTGACTTTCTTTGCCTGCACTGATCCTAATACATTGAATCTGTTCAGTTACCTGTTCCAGAGCAGGATCCTGTCGGATTGGATAGACGTGGAGTTTAAGAAATGATGTGTTGGGTTTATAGTACATCAACGTGTAACAGCTGATTTTCAAAGGAAAGAATAAACGTATCAGAGCCCCTATTAGAGAGAAATGTGGTTCAGTTAACTTGACATGTGTTGGTGTGACCTCAGACACTTTTTCCACAACATCTCCACAGTCATCTATGTGAAGGACTGCAAACGTGTCCAATATGTCAGGGATGTCATCTGCAGGAGAACACAACAACACAAACATGGTGAGAAGAACAGTTTATAACAGTTTGTGCGCTCACTGTCAGAAATGTCCAACATCTGAAAGTCTTCCTTCATGTCCTCTTACCGATGCAGATCCAGTGTGGCAGGTGAACTTCATTTAACTTCCCAGCAGTGACTGTGACGTCCATCAGAGGACCTGCAGGCATGTATTGTCTGCTCTCCATCCTCTCCATGTGTCCCTCCCAAGATCTAAACTGGTACTGAAAGCTGGTCTTTCCCTTACAGACCCAGCGCAAGCCCGACACTCTGCATTCAAAGTGTCCTGCTGCAGACTGAAGGCTGAAACAGGAATTAAATACACACTCATGAAGGAACAACAGAGTGAATGGAAACACAGAGAGTAGTCGTGTGAATCGGATGCAAAATGAAGAATTTCCTCTGGGAATAAATCCAAAGCTGAACTGTTTCCTGTAGTTCCAGTTTGCTGTGCTGCAGCATTCAGGAAGTTGATTTACCTGTAAGTTGGAGCCTCGTCTGCATCTGTACTGTTCACCTCAGGTTCAAGTTTAGTCCAATCACTGCAGTCCTGCTGCAGAGGACAGTCTCTTTAGTCAATAAGTACACATGTTTATAAAGAAAGAAACTTTAGCAATAAATGGATGAATGGAAGGGATTACCGTCAGGCTCTGACAACCTTCAAGCTCTGAACTTCTTTCAGTTTTTCGTCCTTGTTGAGACACAAAGAATTCAAATGAATGATGTTATGCTGACATATAAAATCATCCTGTAACTGTCCACATGTTTGCTGTTTGATCACTTTATGCTGTGCAGTGCTGCTTCAACATCAGAACAACATGTTCAGCAGGATGTGCAGCTGAGTGACGTCTAAGATGATCAAAAGCTGATGAATCCAAATATTCTCACCAGTGATGTCAGAACAAGACAGAGACAGAGAGAAAGGTTGGATTCAGCTCTGATCATTTATGCAAAGTTACTTTTGTACGTCTGTTGTGTTTCCTGTTTATTTTAATGTTTGTTGATTAGAAGTTGTTTAAACAAGTTTATTGTAAATTATGAAAATCTGTTTATTAAACTTTGGTCTCACCTGAGCTGCTCTCTGACAGCCTCAGCATCAGATCAGGTCTGTTCATGTCTGTTAAAACCTCCATGGTCACCTCCACAGACTGATGACCAAGTTTATCCACCATCAGATTCACAAGGTCTTCTGTCCTGTTTTGACACCGGTACCTCTCCATTTGTGGCAGGCTCATCTTAAAGCACGTGAACGGCAGCAACTGCTTGAATTTCTTTAGATCCTTTTGACTGAATTCATTCAGTGTTTCCAAGAGAATCTGTCTGACAGCTTCCTGTTCTTTTACCTGTAAAACCAAAACAATGTATTAAGTTACTGTATAATATCTCTGTTGGACAATTTAAAGATTTCTCTTTATTTAATTTCCAGAGAAACTGTAGTAGAAATATCAAATATTAATTAAAAAATATGTCTTCATTAATATTTATATGTTTTAGAATAATCACTGAAGAGACAGCTGGCGGTTTTGATATTTACTTCACTCTCTTTATGAACTGCAAAACTTCAAGTTTCATAAGAAAACATTATTTCATTTCTATCAATACTGAAAACTATTTTTTGTAAAAGCTGAGTTAAAGTCACACTCACTCTCTTCAACAGTGCAGCTCCATGTTCATCCACAGAGTGTTTCTCTGAGGAGGAAAGACATTTACCATCAACTCTGAGGATTCAAACATCATCACACATCCAAGTAGAATCAGCCTTCAGACGACACAGATGATTTAAAAGAGAAAATCATGTGAAACTAAATAAAATGACATAAGAACCCAACGAAGAAACCCTCCATCCTGTCCAACCAAAGTAACTGGGGTTCCCAGCTGTGATAATGAGAGAGGGTACACCTGTCCACCTCAGGTTTTAAACAGACAGACAACCTTTCACACCCACATTTAATTTAGAACCAGCAATAAAGCCAACAAGCATGTGTTTGGACTGGAAACCAGAGCACTCTGAGGAAAAGCATGCAGGCACAGGGAGAACATGCAAACTCCACACAGAAAGGTTCCAGCCAACCAGGAGGCTCAAACACACAACCTTCATGCTGTGAGGACACAGTGCTAACCACTGCACCACCATGACACCACCAACACAAAAACCTGTTGATGACACAGAGTTTACACTCATGCATGTTGGTCTTACCTCTGGATGCTGAGCTGCTCTCTGGTAACTTCTGCACCAGATCAGTTCTGTTCATGTGCATGAAAACTTCTCTGGTCACCTCCACAGACTGATGACCAAGTTCATCCACCATCAGATTCACTACATCTGCTCTGGTTGATGATCGACTCAACCTGTCTGTATATGAGAAGAATGACAGAATCCTCCAAGGAAGGATCGTCTGCAGGAGCCCCTTAAATTTCTTGAGCTCCTCATCACTCAAATCATTCAAAGTTTCTAAAAGCAGATGTTTAACAGCTGCCATTGTTGCCGCCTGGAACAAACACAATCACGGGGTCACATATTTATTTAGCCAAACACAAGCATCTATTTACTAGTTGTGGTACATTTATCAAAAAAATGAAGAAAATCTAAAACTGTGATCCACTTTTATGGGTTTGAATACTTTTTCTTTACAGGCTGCAGTTCTTCTCTCACTGTGCAGATAAAAACTGAAATATATCCATCAAGAATCTTTCCCTGATTTCACATCATCTTTCATTCTTTATTAATATTTGTAAGTAGAATAAAGTTTCCTGTTTAATCTGAAAGTGTTTGATGTTTTCAGATTTCTCTGTCCTGTTGAAGAGTCAGGACAAATGTACATGCTGACACTTCCTCAGCTCATCCTCAGTGGTAAAGACATCCTGACATTAGTGTTGCAGAAAATTACTGCTGAAGAAGTCAAACTGAATGAAGCTTCAGTTTGTCACAAACATCCAGCAGAAATCATGAGAAAATGACTCAACATGAGAACTGATGATACTTTAGTCCTCTGACTTTCAGCCTGCTGTCTTGTACTGAATCAGAGATGTGACATGACTCACTTTGTGGATCAGTGCAGAGCGTCGTTCATCCACAGAGTGTTTCTCTGAGGAGAAAAGTGCTCAAAGTCACTCATGACAAACACATTTAACAACTAACTGACAATTATTCAGGAAATATGACTTTGGAAAAATGGACAATATGCAGAATTACACTGAAACCTCCTCAGCAATAATAAACAGTATGAAGGAGTCATTTTTACTCCTCCTCACAAAGTATTTGGATTTAATCTGGTCTCATTTTTATGTATTTATTGAAGTAGATTTTTCCAGAACAGCCATAAAATATGTTTTAAAGATGTGTTTTTTTGTCTTTATTACAAATATTATTTATAAAGTCAAAGAAGACTTTAGTCAGACATTTATGAGACATGAAAACAGTTTTATGACTTTAATGAGTTTTGATTTTGTTGTCTTACTTCGAGGCAGTGAGCTGCAGTCTGACAGCCTCTGAGCCAGATCAGTCCTCTTCATCTCCTTTAAGACCTCCATGGTCTTCTCCACTGACTGTTGGCCGTAAGTCTGCACCATCAGAAACACTGTGTGCTGCAGGTCTGTCCTCATGTACCACATCCATGTGACGTCTGAGTCATATTTGCGATGAATTTGTCGCAGGCTCCAGTTGAACTCATGCAGCTCTGGCTCATTGAGACCATCCAGAGCTTCCAGCAGCAGCTCAATAACAGACTCCATCGTTTCTACCTGGAAAATTCAAAGAAAATGTTCATGAGATAAATGTGACATTTCTCACTTTCAGGTTTGTTTGTTTTCTCATCAACACTTTACAAATGTAGATGTGTTTAGATGACATCATCCATCACATAAGGTGATGATGTCATTGGTCATCTTTGTCACAATGATCACAAACAGCTGATTAACAATTATTCTGCTTCTGTTAACAAGTTCAGGACTTTTCTGACCTGCTGCAGACCTCCCTCACTGCACACGCTCAACTTATCAAACTTTGACTTTTCCAATCAAAATCAAATCCTTTGTTTCTATTGAAGATTTCTATCCTGTGTTTATGAAATGAAAGCTGGATGATCTGAAGTCAGACAGATGTGACATGACTCACTTTGTGGATCAGTGCAGGCCAACGTTCATCCTCAGAGTGTTTCTCTGACAGAAAAGAAAGATTAAAAGCTTCATTCATGACTGATTTAACATCAGTGTTAATAATCAGACACTTTGAAATAACTGATGCTTTGATTTCATTCTGATGATCCTTGTAAGTTGGATTAATAACAACATTAAACTTGTTAACATGAAGTCATATTTGATGGGAAACTATCAACGTGTGAGGAAATGATCCAGTTCTGTTTCATTCAGTAATTCTTCTTCTTCATCTTCTTCATCTTCATATCAATGAGTGTATTTATTGATTCATGTGTTTTCTGGACACTGACCTTTCTCTGTTTCCTCCACATCAAATCCTTCAGCTGATGATCCTGCAGCTGCAACACATTGAATACAAACTGTAACTACATGACACAGACACTGTGTGTGTCCTTTATGTGTGCTCATCCTGAGTATAACACTGAGTCCTGACAATAAAAAGCTTTAATATTTCACTTTCAGCTGTGCTGACTGAAGGCAGGAGGAGGCCATAGTTACACAATCACAGAGAAATCACTGAAAAGACTTTGAATCATTTACCTCATACAGGTCGTCTGTCTCCATAGTGGAGTTTCAATCAAAGCTAACATAAAGATCCATTTACAACACAAGACTGATATTAATGAGCTCAAAATGCAAAAAACAAAGAAAATATTTTCAAAGGAAAGAAGTTCAAAGAGCTTTAAAACAACATTTACTAAAGAAAGTCACTGATTCAATAAGCTGAATATTTTTACTTTAAACATTGAAATATGAAAACAAATCTGTTTAATTTTACTGTGTTTGTACAACCTGAATGTGTTCATTTATCAACGTCTGTCCAAAATAAATCAGAGGAAACAAATTCTTTCATTTATAAATGATAATAAAGTTTATATTATGCAGTTCTTGTTGTGAGTTTCTCTGATTTAATTCTTTAAATTAATTTTTACTGTAAGGTGTAATATTATATTTAAAATCCTTCCACACACAGTTAAGAATAATCCCAACATATCTGTTGTATTAATTTAT